GAAAGCAGCATAATGGAGGAAAGGCTTTATTTGGCTCATCTGCCCAGGTCAGAGTCCTTCATTGAAGGAATTTCAAGGAGAGACTCAAGCAAGAACTTGAAGCAGAAATCATGGAGGGATGCTACTTGCTGGCTCATTAATAAACTCATGCTTAAAAAGCTTCCTTGTACTGCTCAGGACCACCAGCCTAGAGAAGTGCTTTTCCGAGTAGACTGGGCCCTACAATGAACTATCCAGACAATCCTCCACAGACAGGTCTACATACTAATTTGATTCAAATAATTTCTCAATTGAGAGTCTCAGATGATTGTAGACTGTGTCAAGTTGACAGTTAAAGCTAACTGGGACACAGATTCAAGGGAATCCTTCCTCCAAATTCCCTGTCCTGTTCCCATAGGCCAAGTGTTCTTAGGGCTGACAATGAATCCCAAGTCCTCTTGACGTTGTCCGGTATACAGAAAGGAAGATCCGCATGCATGGGGTGGCTGGCCTCTATCATAATTGTTATTGTATTTTGTTTGTTTCTAAATATTGTTTGAAAATGCAAAGTTCTGATAGAAGTAAACTATGAATGAATGAAGTATTGTGATAGGAGAAAGCCCTAAGTGTTGGACCCACAAGCTTCCGGATGGTTAGGCTGCTCTTACACAAGAGTGCACAAAACATAGTAGAGCCTGATGCGCTAGAGGGTGCCACAGTTAGCTCCTAGATTAGAACAGTTTTCTTTGAGGTCAGCCTGATTTTAGGATTAGTCAAGGACTGGTGTGTACTGCCTCAGGCTAGCAGTGTGTCAATGATCACATGCCTAGAGGAAGGAGACAAACATAAGGAAAATGTGCCTAGGTAAGCATTTTATATCTCAAACAGTTCAAGTGTTAACTGTTAGTCTAAATGTGTGACTTTGGAAAGCCTTATTCTGGGTTCCTCTGAGTAGCCAGTGTGTCCAGATCAATATATTATTTCCCAGAGCTAAGGATATCAGTCAAGTTTGTTCTAGTGTGGATAAACACTCTCTGAAAATTTTATACTGCATTTATTTATTTATTTCACTATATTTTTTGAGATAGGGTTTCTCTGTGTAGCCCTGGCTGTCCTGGAACTCACTCTGTAGATCAGGCTGGCTTCGAACTCAAGAGATCTGCCTGCTTCTGCCTCTCCAGAACTGGGATTAAAGGAGTGTGCACCACCCAGCAGCAGTTCCTCTTCTTCCCAAATTATGTCACATTGCTATAACTTTAAATACTTTTTTTTTTAAACTTGGGGATTCCTTTTTGTCTTACAGAATTTAGAAAACATTTTTCTTAAAAAAATAACTTATTTTTAAAGTTGTATTTTATTTTACCTTATTAGTGTAAGTGTGCACTTGTGAGTATAGGTGCTTATGGACTCTAGAAGATGACATTAGGTGCCCTGGAACTGGAATTACAGGTGGTGGTTGTCAGAACACTGTTCTAGAATGCAGTCTGTGAGGAGATTTCTGAGTGTTTGTGAGAAAACTCCAAGAAAACAAGCCTTGTGACCTTAGGTTCTTCAAAACTACAAAACTATTCTTTGGATGTCTTCTTGTGCCCTTCCCAGGTATAGCAGACAGGAATGAGTTTACTTCAGAGTATTCATTATAAGTGGGTACTGTTATTTGTTTATATGTCTCTATGGAAAAATACATTTTGCCACATGTGTCTTGTCTGCCACGTGTGGCTGCCCTTGTGATTGTGCACTTTATTCCTGTGACTTCTCTTAACCCTCAGAGTATGAGTGTCTGGTGCTCTAAATAAAGTTGGCCATTGCATGAGCCTTCAGGAGTTCTCATTTATCAGCCGCATTCTTCCAGGTCCACTGCCTATAGAGTAGTGACAGTTGTGAATCACCTGATGTGAATGCTAGAAAATGAGCTCAGGGTTTCTGTAAGACCAGTGCTCTTAATTGCTAAGCCACTGCCCCATGCCTCACAACTTCATACTTCAATGAAAACCTAGAAGCTCCTTCTGATATGCTTCTAAAATGTTAATCATCTTTAAGATACATGATTAATTAATTAACTTATTTATTCATTTATCTTTTCAACCAACTTTAATTAGCAAGTATGTTAAAGATTTAAATCTCAGCCAGGCAGTGGCAGTGAACACCTTTAATCCCATCGCTTGAAAGGTAGAGGCAGGTGGATCTCTTTGAGTTTGAGGCCAGCCTGGACTACAGTGCAAGTTCCAGGACAGTCCGGACTCCACAGAGAAACCCTTTCTCAAAACAAACAAAAAACAAAAAGATTTAAGTCCTCTTATAACAGACAGAAAGTGTTTGTTTAAAAATATGAACTCTTAAGTTTGGCCTGTAAGGAAGAAAAAAACAGAAGAAATCTGCAGTATGTCTGTCTAGTTCGGTATCCATCTCTTTTCCTTTGGGAAGGTTGAAAGCACAGAGACTGCTATTGTCTTAACACTGTAGCTGTCTTAGATTTTTGGTCCCACATGAGGTCCCACCTGAGAACCAGTTGATTCTAGGAAACAAAAAGAGTTTTCCTTTTTTTAAGATTTATTTTTTATTTTATGTGTATTGTCTTTTGCCCAATTGTATGTACATGTACCATGTATATGCCTGGTCCCCTTGAAAGCCAGAAGGGGAATGATTCCCCTGGAACTGGAGTTATAGACAGTTGTGAGCTGACATATTTGTGCTGGGAAGCAAACCCTGGTCCTCTGGAAGAGCACCAAGCTGTCACTCCAGCCCCACCAATAGGAATCTTTAACCACCTTACAGACTAAAAACTCAAGTAAGAACTGATCACAGAAAAGAGACCAGACAGATTTGTTTATACCTCTTTGCTCTGAACTTCTTCCTTTTAGTAAAAACTTGTGTCATCTCCCCAAACCCAGATTAAATATCACCAGATCCTTTTATTTGTTCCCCCCAGGCAGAGCCACACTGACACCATCATGATTTTAGTAATTATAGAATTTCATGCATGTCTATGAGGAGTCATATGGTGGTAAGAGCTGTTTCTAGGAACATGTGCTACTTTTTCACTGTCCATTTGTGTTTCCGATAAAAATTATAATATTAATTTATTAGAAAATGAATTACTCAATCAGTCCTGTATAAGTTCTTATATTGTTGCTGTGACAAAATTCCAGAGAAGGGAATTTAAGAGAGCAGGGGTTTGTTTTGGATTTAGTTTAAGGTTGTAGTCTTATCATCTTGGGGTAAGCATGACAAGAATTGAAGGCAGCTGCTCACATTGTATCTGCAGTCAGGAAGCAGAGGGCAATAAATTCGATGGCTTAGCTACCTCTGAATTCACTTTCCTCAGCCCTGTGAATGGTGCATCATCCCACATACAGGTTAAGTCCTTCTGCCTAAAATGTAATCAAGATAATCCCAGACATACATAGCAAGAGTATTGATCCTATCAAGTTGAAAATCAGTATGTACCTTCAGGTCTTAAAAAAAAAAAAAGACTTAAAATGCTTATTTCTTTTTATTTTATGTATATGGTTGTTTTGCCTGAGTATATACCCATGTGTGTGCCTGGTGCCTGCAGAGATCAGAAGATAGGGTCTGGTTCCCTGGAACTGGAGTTGCACAGTTGTGAATCACCATGTGGTTGCTGGGATATTGAACTCAGGTCCTCTGGAAGAGCAGCCAGTGCTCTTAACTGCTGAGCCATCTCTCTGGCCTTACATCACAAGTCTTACCAGACTACTATTTAAAATGTTCTATGAGAAAGCAGATACACACATCTAAGTGTTTTCTTTTAATAGTAAATCACAGAGGATATATTCAAGTCCCTAACAAGTTGTGAGAAGTATTATTATATAATATCCACTTATCGAAGTCACTGATCTATTTCTGTGAAGAAACACCCTGACCATGGCCATTCTTATAAAAGACAACACTTAGTTGGGGGTTTGCTTACAGTTCCAGAGGGTTAGTTCATTTCCATCATGGTAGGGAGCATGGTGGCAGGTGTGGAGCTGAAGCGGTATCTGAGTGCTACATCCTGAGTGGCCGGCTGGATGCCATGGGGGAGGGGAGAGGGAGAGAGAGAAGAGAGACTCCATCTGGCAGGGGCTTTGAAACCTCAAAGTCCACCCCAAAACATTTCTTCCAACAAGGCCACACCTCTTAATCATTCTCAAGCCACTCCCTAATTACAAAACATTCACCTGTATGAGCCAATCTTGTTCAAGATACCACACCTCTGAACCAGCTTCTTAATGATTCATCATTCAGAAAACATACTGAGTCTAGCCAAATACTTTCTCTCTGATAATCACATGGAAATGTGATGTGGACTCTGAGAGAAAACAGTGATATGAAAGTCACATATGGTTGGCATCAAATGTTTAGGAAAGCCATACAGTTAAATAAGGACAAGTTCCTCTCAACCAAGGGTCCCAGATACCAAGAGAAATGGATTTTTTCCTTCAGTATCTGTAAGAATATGTAGTCTTGGGACAGGTAATATTGGGCTTTCTTTGGGACATTAGACAATCAACATTTGTTATAAATGTTGTCACAGTGACCCAGTGAACAAAGAGAAGTTAGCAGAACTTATGAGGGCAAAGATGGTCCTGTTCTGCTGATACTTTATCCAACTTTCCAATCTACTGTCAGAATTACTGTATTAGAGAATTAGTGTGTATGCACAATAAGAGTGTGATGGCCAAACAACTTGAATGTATATGGAACACAGTGTCACAATAACTTCTTGTGGAAGTCTAGATAGCTGGTACTATGAGGTTTATCCCTGTGGAAATATACGTGTGTACTTTTAGGAGTCAGTGACCTTTGAGGATGTGGCTGTGCACTTCACCATGGAGGAGTGGGCTATGCTGAATCTATCCCAAAAGGAGCTCTACAAAGATGTGATGAAGGAAATACTGAGAAACGTGGTCTCTATAGGTAAGTACATCATCATTCTTATAATAGGTCAATCAAACAAAGTGCTTCTGGTTCATCATTGCTGCTGCATGAAATGAAATATTGTAAAGAAATATTTGAGTATACTTATCTAGTAGGGGGACACCATGATCAGGAGGGTGACTTTCCCTGAGTGAGGCTCATTCATTCCATTTGTCATATGCTGACTCCTGCAATTTCCTCAAATTTGGAAAAGTTGGCTGTATAATTTGTGGTAGTGGGAGACTGTGTTCACACTCTGCCCTGAAGGGGGGGGGGTGAATTTGTGATATGGGGCTACTTTATACCATGAATTTAGTTGGAATCAGCTAATGTTTTTACTGTAATATCATGACTCCTAATGATTCATCTTAATCTGTATTTTAGGAAACATAAGGAAACACCAAAAGACTGAAAATGAATACCAAAATTCTGGGAGGAAACTAAGGTAATTCAGGTTCCTCAAAGTTTATGGTGCCATAGGACATTTTACAAAGAGGTAAAAGATGCAAATATATCTTAGGAAATTGTCTCCAAAACTGATAATATGTTTCATAACATCAGTAAAAACATCTCAGATATTCAAGCATTGGAAACAACTAGAGTATCGTGATACTTTGTCATACTTGACATGTACAAACTTTACACAATATACATTATGGAAAATGAAATATTAGTTTATCTACAATCTTGAGTATGAGGTGCATATGAAACAAAAATAAGATACTCTTTTAGACTGGAACTAATAGTTGAGGTAACACATATAGGCAGTTGTGGTGCACTCCTTTAATCCCAGCACCTGGGAGGCAGAGGCAGGCAGATCTCTGTAACTTCGAAGACAGCCTGGTCTATAAAGTGAGTTCCAGGACAGCCAGGACTATTACACAGAGAAACTCTGTCTCAAAAATAATAAATAAATAAATAAATAAATAAATAAATAAAACCAATATAGATATTTGTCTTAGGGTTTTTATTGCTGTGAAGAAATTCCATGACCATGGCAACTTATAAAGGAAAACATTTAATTGGGTCTGGCTTACAGGTCCAGAGGTTTAATCAATTATAGTCATGGTGGGAAGCATGCTAGAGAAGTAGCGGAAAGTTCTACACCTGGATCCACAGTCAGGGGAAGGAGACACACTGGGCCTGAACTGAGCATCTGAAACCTCAAAACCCATCTCCAGTGACACACTTCCTTCAACATAGCCACACCTACTCCAATAATAGTACTACTCCCATTGAGTCTATGGGAACTATTTTCATCCAAACTACTGCAACATTTAAGCAGTTAAAAATTCAACATGACTTTCATCATCAGTATTATGTATCAAATTATGCACAGTATTCAGCACTGAAATGTGTATTTAAATGTGATATATACATTCAATGTTTGCAAACATGGAAACAATATAACTTCTCATTGTGTTTATTATACCATTGCTTTTATTATATTATAGCTATTTTCAAGCCATGCTGCATGACCTTCAGTCAAAACATGCTCAAAATTCTTATGATACATAGAACCAGTATTTCTACTGGTAAATTATTCCTAATCAAACCTTTAGCAGTTCACTTTTCATTTCTTACAGATGTCAACTGGTGGAGAAACTCCATGACTGTAAAGAAGATCATGAGTGTGCAGAAATCTTTAACTTCTCTACAGAGGGCACACTGAACCCTAAATTTTATCCAGGAGTACATATATGTAAAAGAAATGGGTTTGTAAATGTAGTCATTGGCCATTTAGCTCTAACTGTGCGACTAAAACCTAGGCCAGGGCAGAAATCAAATGAAGTTCAGAAACATGGACCAGAGTTGCATAATAATAAGGAATTTGAGGACACCTCCAGCTCTCCCCCATCTTTGCAGACACATACAAGTATTGACACTGCAGAGAAATCTAATAAAAATAATCAGTCTAATGAAGACTTAAGACTTAATCAAAATCATCAAATTACTCCTTCTAAAGAAAAACACCATGAGTGTAAGCAGTGTGGGAAAACCCTTTCTTCTCTAGGGTCTTTGAAGGGGCATGAAAAACATTACCATGCTAAGAGACCCTTTGTATGTAAGCAGTGTGGGAAAGCCTTCCCTTTTCCCAGCTCCCTCCAAGTACATGAAAGGATCCACACTGGTGAGAAGCCCTATACATGTAAGCAATGTGGGAAAACCTTTGCTCATTCCAGTTCTCTTATTAGACATGAAAGAATTCACACTGGCACAAGTTCTCATGCATGCCAACTGTGTGGGAAAACCTTTACTCGTTTCAATTCTCTTTTAAGGCATAAAATAATCCACACTGGAGAGAAGCCCTATGCATGTAATCAGTGTGGCAAAAGTTTTTCTCGTTCTGCTTCCCTTCAAAGACATACCAGAATCCACACTGGAGAGAAACCCTTTGTATGTAAGCAATGTGGGAAAGGGTTCATTACTTCTACTTATCTTCAAGTCCATGAACGAACTCACACTGGGGAAAAACCTTATGTGTGTAAGGAGTGTGGGAATGCCTTCATGCTTTGGACTCAATTTCAAAAACATAAAGTAATTCATAGTGGTGTGAATCCCTATGTTTGTAAGCAATGTGGGAAAGCCTTCACTCGTCTTGGTTCCCTACAAATACATGAAAGAATTCACACTGGTGAGAAGCCCTATGTGTGTAAGCAGTGTTCAAAAGCCTTCTTGTCTTTGAACCAATTAAGAAGACATGAAATAAGTCACAGTGGTGTCAAACCCTATATGTGCAAACAATGTGGGAAGGGATTTATCTGTGCTACTACTTTTCGAAGTCATGAAAAGATACACAGTGGAGAAAACCCATATGTGTGTTCACAGTGTGAGAAAGTTTTGGGTTCTGAGAGTGCTTTGCGGAAACATAAATTGATTCACACTGGAGAGAAACCTTGTGTGTGTAAGCAATGTGGTAAAACATTCACTCATTTGAGTTCTCTTCAGTATCATGCATTGATGCACAGTGGAGAGAAACCCCATGAATGTAAGACATGTGGGAAAGGCTTTAGATCGCTTAGTCACCTGAAGAAACATGAAAGAACTCAACACTGAATAGAAACCCTATGCATGCAAACAATATAGTAAAGCCTTTATTTAATATCTTTTATGAAGATAGTCATTCTCACTGGCATAAATCCCTAGTTTGTAAGCAATATTTACACTTCTTAAATGGCTGGTTTGTGTTCACATAAACAAACTCACCCTGGAGAAAAGTGAGACTTTTTGCTACCAGTGTGTGAAATGTGTAAAATTTCCTATCAAACTGATTAAAAAAAAAAAACTTGAAACAGCTATAATGGAGGGGAACCCTTTAAAAATGGTTTTCGTATTAAAAGTTTTCTTCAAGTCCATGAACAAATTCACACTAGAGAAAGCCCTATGAGTGCAGGTGTTGTTATAGTTCCACATCATGGAAAAAAAACATGACAAAGATTACACTACAGAGAAACATCATTCATACTTGCAATGTAGAAAGTCTTCATTTCTTCCCTGATCTCCCCAACCCCCAGATATGTGGGAGTTAGCTAGAGGGGACTAGAAATGGCTTAGTAGTTAAAAGCCCTGGCTGCTCTTCCAAAGGTCTTAGGTTTGATTCCTAGCAACCACATGGAAGCCTACAACTGTATCTAATTCCAGTTCCAAGGGATCCAGCATCCTCTTCTGAGGACACTCAGAATGCTTGTGGCTCCTGTATGCTTGTGATACATAGACATACATGCAGACAAATTACCCATATGCATAATACTAAAGAGAAACTCTTTGTATGTAGGCTATATTGGAAAGCCTCCCATTACTACCATTTCACAGACATGAAAGAACCTACCATAGAATAGCCTTAAATACAGATTTTTAAAAATTTAGACTTATTTGTTTTATTTCATATGTATGAGTGTTTCACCTGCAAGTATGAATGTGTGCCACATGTGTGTAGTGTCTGTGCTACCATGAAGAGGGCCTTGGGAGCTCTGGAACTGGAGTTACAGATTTGTGAGCAGCCATGTAGATACTGGGAACTGAGCACAAGTCCTTTGTGCAGCGAATGTTCTTAACCATTGAGCAATCTCTCCAGCCTGGTAGCTAATTCTGGACTTTTATTTCTGAATTTTGCTTTACAAAATAAGCATAAGCCAAATGCATGAGATAGGATGACATCTTATACCCATGGGACGAAGACCAATTAGACCCACATTTGAAAGTCAAACAGCTGTAGAAAGTACACTATCATGAAATGGTGTCATAAGGTTTCTTAAAGCAGCAATCTATAGTTTAATAGGTGATGTCGTTTTTGCATCAGGTCAAATACATGTTTGTACTTGTATTGTAAATTGTGTCAGATTCATGTGGTGAACTAAAATTAATTTGTAACATGCCAATATGCATAAATGCATTTTTTCAAACAATTGTGGTTAATTGAAAATGACTTTTTGAGAATATTGGTATTTTTGCACTGTTCTCATATGCCTGGTTCTGGCCACCTTGCATGGGTTTGTTTGTTTGTTTTTTTTTTCATGAACAAAAACCATTTTAAAACATATGTATGTTGTGTAAGACCATGTGTTGTATATGTTTGTGTGTGTATATATAAACATGCATGTGCATGTGTGTTCATGTTCATACTGAGGCTGGAGTAGTAATAACAATGGGTGACCTACTTTATGGCTCTCTGACTTATTCTCTCGAGAAAGTGTCTCTTATTGAACCACGAGCTAATCTGGCAGCCAGCAAAACCCATCAGTTCACTTCTGTGCACTCCCAATAGTGCTTGGTGTATGGGCATGGTTGCAGCATAGTTGAAACCATTCCCAGCTTTACATGAGTGTTAAGGATTCAAACTTAGGTCTTCATGCTTGCAAAGTGCTTTTACCCACTGGGCCATAAACTAACTCATTTAATGGGTATTTCTATTGAATTTTTATTATTTCTGTTTTGTGTATGTTTATTTTTTCCCTTTGGTGATTATTTTCTAGTATTACTTTCTTGTAAGTCTGGGATGGTTGGTTTTAATGTCAACTTGCCACAAATTAGAAACCCCTGCATGGGTATGCTCACTGGGAGAACTGTACTGATCTTCTTGATTGATATGGGAAGATCCACCCCACTTATAGGTGGCACCTGCTGGTCCAGACAAAAAGGGCGTGGTAGAATAAAAGCATCTTGCCTTTTGTTCACTTGTCCATCCCTCTTGCCACCTACTCATGTGCCCTATTGCTATTGGTGTTTATTTTAAGGTTATCAGATCTAGTGTTTCCAATTTTTCA